GACCTACAGATCAGGAGAAAGCAGGAATAAGATGATGAAAGAGTATTATAAAGGATGTATTCACTTCTAAGAAGACATTGTTGAGAGACGGAGAAGCGATGCTTAAAAATTGCAATGAGGCTGTCAATCTTCCTTCTCATCCCTGTGAGTCAGGACTCCTGCTTCAATCAGTATGTTCTCCAGTGCCATCCTGGAAGTATATGACTGACATTTGGATTGTTTGGTTCCCATAGCAGTTGTTAAAAATTTACAATATTCCCATTGGCTGTTGGGTGAGGAAAATGGGGAAATTTTCCTCTATTCAAGAGTGCTTCAAGTAATGCAGGCAATTAAGGGAAAAAGAAATTTTCAATTATAGATAAAAGCAGTGGAAGAGTTTACAGAAATATTTAAGACATAGGAGAATTTGCTTACAATAGAAGGCAATATAAGGGACAGACCGTGCTTTAGAGAAATTAGAGGAAAGACCAGAGAAGTAGAAATGAGCAACATCCTCAACAAGTATCATTCTCAGTAAGCAATGAAGGAGTCAGGTGCTGGGAGGGAGACCACCTCTACCTATTTGTTAGTAAGAACACTCCCCCTACTCCTGGGGAGGGCTTTTCCCACTAAGCACACTCTGGCCTTTTCTCCACCCCTTTCTTCAGTCCCTGTAGTGACAGAGTGATGATGCCCATCTGTATATTCAGGGAGAGTAACTAGCTGTGTTTAGCTCAGTCCATTCTCATCTCTTGACAACAGGCAGATACTGAGTTTTCTACTCTTCTGTGGAGGATTTCTCACTTGAGAATCCATCTTTCCAGTGACTGCTAGTAATTCTGCCTCATTCTAGGACTTGGTTAACAGCCTCACTCAGCTCCACTCAAAGTTACTTCCTCCAACCTGGCCTCTTTCAGTAATTAACATGGCTTTTAAGTTCCCTATTGGTCACATTATGGATGTCCCTTGAGCACACTTCTGTTTTGTACTTGTTCCAGAATCCAGCTAGGAAAGGAGGATGCTATTCATTGGAGACCTTCTAGAAATCTCCATCATTAGTGACTAAGAAAAAGATGGGGTAAGAGGAATTTCTATGTCTTTTAAATTAACTAGTACCAAACAAAGAGCTAACGAACCAACAATGACTGAACACTTACCATATGCCATGGTTTTAGGCACTTTATAAAGAAGCCAAATTAAATGAAATGTTCATGGCAACCCAATAAGGTAGCTAGTATTAATATCCTTATCTTATATATGAGGAAACTGAAGCACATACAAGTTAAGTAACCTTCCCAGAGTCGCATAATTCCCAAGTGGCAAAGGCAGTGTCAAAAAACAGTCAGTCTATCTCCAGAGTATAACTCTGTAAAATACTATCCTGTATCACTTCTTTCTGAGCTGGCTTCCTGGGTGAAGGTCCATTACTGAGAGGTAATAAAATATCTTATATTTTATAAATATCCAAGTAACAATAAATATGTGAATGCAATTTGTTTTTCCCATTTTTTTAAAGATAAGGATGAACAGATTATTCACCATTCACTTTTTTTTTCAGTCAAAGCCTCACTCATTACCCAGGCTACAGTGCAGTGGCACAATCGCAGCTCACCACAGCCTCAACCTCCTGAGCTCAGTCTATCCTTCTGTCTCAGCCTCCTGAATAGTTGGGACTAAAGGTATGCACCATCTCTCTTGGCTAATTTTTTGTAGAGATGAGGTCTCTATATATTGCCTAGGCTGGTCTTGAGCTCCCAGGCTCAAGCAATCCTCTTGCCTTGGCTTCCCAAAGTGCTAGGATTTCACTAACATGGATATGTGAGTGAAACATACCCCATCTACGTGAAAGCAGACAGGTAAATATATATATGGACACAGCCTTCCAGCTGTTATAAACTTACAATACTGTCAAGTGAAATAATATAATTACAGCAATCACATTCTTCTCTTTTTTACCCAGCTGACTTCCTTGAAATAACCAGTCTGGTAGACGCAGTTATCTTTCTACTTCCTCACTTCTGTCTCTTCAGTCCTCTGCAATCAGATTTCTACCATAACCAAAAAATAGCCTTGCCAAAAAGTCACCAAAGCCCTTCTCAATGCTCCTGGACCTTGCAGGCCAGATCTTACCCCACTTCTTCCAGAAGCTGACACTATTACCAATGCCCTTCTTCCCTTGGTTCTCGACAACATTCTTTCCTGGTTCTCTCCCACTTGGAGGACAGCCACTCCTCAGGTTCTCTGCCGACTTTCCTTTCCTGGACCCATTCCTTATACATGAAAAATTTCTCAGGCTTCTTTGTTCTGCCCTCTTCTAATGTTTTACCCTCTTCAACAGTGCACTCTCAATGGTTTCCTGCTACCCCCACTGAATACCCCTAGCCCCATCCTATCTACCTATTTCACCTACTTCTCTCATTTGAAGAGGAGATATTGCCCCAATGGCTACTGGTGATCTGCTCATGAATGTCTCATCGGTGCCTCAATAATGTGAACTAAGCATCTATTCAATCTCTCATCTCTTTCCTAGACGCCAAAGGCCATCTTAACAGGTCACCCCGACTTCAGAAATGGGCTCATTCAATGTATCCTCCTCACAGTTGTGTGAGAGAGATACTTCCAAGCTCAAATCTAATCACGTAGCCCAAAATCAACAATGGAAGCAAGCCTGATACACACACTGTGCCATGACTTGTCTCTTCCTTGTCTCTCCACATTTTCTCTAGCCATAGTCTTTCCCCTACTACATCATCAGCAAATTATCTTCTCCACCAAGCTGAACTTATTAATTTTCAAAACACTGTTATTTCAAGGTTTCAGCTTAGATGTCCTTCCCAGTCCTCACCTAGTCCATCCAGGGATTAACTAGACATCTTTCAAGGCTCAGCTTAGGTGTCATCTCTTTTATGAAGCCTTTCATGATCACCTGAAATTAGAGTTAACCGCTCCCTCATTTGACCCTTATTCTAACCTGAATAGATCTGTGAACCCCTAAAGGCAGAGGCTTACATAGGAGTAAGTTATTATTAAGTGCTTAAATAAGTGCTTGGATCTCCTGACATGAGTAATCAGGCTAAAAATTTTACTTCATTATCACATTAATTCATTATTACATTATCACAGAAGTCCACTGGCACAAGCATACTCTCCCATCTTCCAAAAATAACACTTATCTACTTATTAGATAATATTCCAACTGTAGCTCATAAACTGTTTCTTTTCAGGTTAAAAATATATATGACTTGATAGGTTTAGGCAATAACTCCCCCCCCAAAAAAACCCCCACATTTTTTTGTCTGTAACTTTCCACTTGGAATGATCCCTTTATGATATAGGCCTTCATTAAATTCTCCTTCCTAAAGAACTGATCCTCTAAAATCTGAAAATTCCAGTATCATGTGCACAATCCTCATAAGGGCCAGTCCTGGGGTGTTTGGGTCTTTACCACAGATGTTGGCTTTGCCAGATTCTCAGTGAATGTTTTCCACTGGGTTAACATTTTCAGTATTTTTTGTTTGTTTGTATTTGTGAGAAAAAGAAAGTTGTAACATGATGAGATATAATCAATTACAAGTTCAAGTCTTAAACAAGTGTTAAGTATATTCTTTCACAGCATAAAACTCCCTAACTTTCCTCTCTTATTAGGAAAAAATAGTTGGCTAGTGCTGACATCATTTTTAACTGGATCCTTACACAGAGGCATCCATGACCATGCTTCATTACACATATGAAGAACTGCAAATCCCCCTCTATGAGCCCCAGGAGAATAAACACCTTTTAGAACATTCTTATCAGAAAGAAAAATGTTTCAAAACATTCATTCACAATAAATAATCACTTTAGATTTCTGCTCTCCATGAAGTTGATCTATGAAATCCTAGAACCATTTGAAGTAGATCCACTGAGCCTCTTTAAGTATAAAAAAACAAAAACAAAAAACTAGATGCTTTATTAGGGAGGCTTTACATAGATTAAGAGGCTGTCAAATCATCCCATTCACTCTTCATCAATCATGAGGATTAAATATTTATATTCTGATTTTGTAAATAAGAAAACTAAGGCTCAGAAGGACTAGGTAATTTGCCAGGATCAGAGAGTAAATACCAAAGTCAAAAAGTCAAGTCCAAGACCATTTGATTTAAAAATTGTATATACATGATACACAGGGGTTAAAAAAAAAAAATAACTGATCTAGGACTTCCTACCAACATTCCTCTTTAGGATTTCTGCTCAATAATGTGCTTTTCAGTCAGTATTTCCTAAACCTGTACCCAGTATCCCCTAAACTATCCACTACCTATTAAATATGATCATAACATATTCTTGAACCCCCCCCCCCATTAACACCAATCATTCTGTCACCTTGGGTAATTTTTCAAGGTCTTTTCCTAGTCAGAATTCTGTTCCAAGGCTCATCATTACTTAATTTTACTCTCTCCAAATTCAGACATGAATCATCAGGTTTCCATTTTAGCGTCCATAAGAGACATTTAATCTCTATAAATACATTTTCACATTGGACGTACAACACCATGATGAAGCAAAACATGTTCATTGCCAAGAGCCAAAAAGATCTAGATTCAAAAACTGGTTTGTCACTTTTTAGCTCAAAAATTTGGCAAGTTCCTTATATTCATTAATCTTTTGTTTCCTTACCTAAGGAAGAATTTTGCTATCCACCTTATGATTTTTTGAGTACAAAATAAAGTAACATTTGTAAAGAGCCTAACAGTACTTGGTCAAAGTAAACACTGAATAATTAGCAGGTGTTAGTAATATTAGTGTTATTAGTATTATTAGGTTTAAAATATAATATGAACATTTACAAGTAGTCTAGAATGGTTGGCAGAGAGCACTGGACATAAATGAAGCTAAAACTATAACTCAATAAACTAGTCTTTGCATTTATATCTTAAACTATTCCTCAGAAAGAAAGGCTGCCATTTATTTTTCTAATATACAAAAATCACAAAAAACTACCTGTGCCCTGTTATTTTTATTTTGATATTGACTATTCTGACCTGATGCTAGCAGATTTTGCCTTTAAGTCGTTCCATCTTTGGTTCATATCATCTAGTCGATGTTGAAGCATAGTAGCCTCTTCAGAATTTCCCAAAGCTTTTACCATCTTCTGCCTGTTTCCATCAATGCTTTTAAAGATGTCATTGTGGGCATCAATTTCAGCCTGGATGTCCTAAAGGGAAAAAAGCAAATAGATAATGCAAATGTTAGGTATCAGTATGAGGTATTGGGATTTCTGCATAGAGATTTATTTTTTTGTATTCACAGATGAGTTACTTTCAAGCAAAATTGTTCATTTCAAAGTATTTCTACAATTCTTACACTGAAAATGATGGTCTTTAAATATTCAATGCATTGATTCCTCAGTTCTTAGAAAACATAATGAATCATAACCTAAATGTCATGTATCAGCTAGTTCTGATGTTAATGGTTCAGATTCAATTAGCAATTTTTTGTTTTATGCAACTGTTGCTGTCAAATCATTGTGTTATTCTTGATATACAAACAAATTATTTCTCTCTTTTATACATGGGCAAATGTCCACTAAAATATTAAGTTGTACAGAGGTCACTAAGATATTAGATAATTTTAAGTGTTTTTCACATTTAGACAAAATAACTAATAGTTTAATCTTATAAAATTTATTTTTAAATTTTAAAAGAACATTTTCATATACAAGTTTGTTCTCATTAAGAAATAAAAATAAATAACAATGTTTTTTCCTATTATGTAGGAAAATCATTTATTTTGTAAAAATAAATTTGAAAGGAGTTTAAGTAAAATGAGAATTATTGTAAATAATAAAAATTGATCCAGCTTTTGAGAAAGCATTTGGCAATCTATATCAAAAGCCATAAAAATATCAAAATTACCCCTTCTAGGAAGATTTATGTATAAACATGTTTAACAACACAGTTTTTAAAATACTAAATTGATGGTAATATAGCATTGTTTAAAAGCAGACAATACGAAATGATGTGATATGATGGCTTCATTTTTAAAATAGATATTTAAATTAGCATGTAGATTTCTGAATAATTGTCACATATATGTGTTAAAAGGCTTTTTTTTAAAAATTCATATTTTTTATTTTAAAATTGTGGGGTACAGTTAAGGGTTAGGTATAGAAATATGTATTGTGCAGGTACCTTTGTTGATGAGGTGTGCCCCCCTGTCCCCAGACAGATATTGACTACCATTAATCCCACCTCCCTTCCCCTCCCTGACCACCCATAGTTTCCCACCACTGTCAATCCTTTTCTTATAGTATTATGATAGATGTTCAAGGTCCACTTATAAGTGAGAACATGTGACACTCAGATCTTTGTTTCTGTGAGAGGTCACTCAGTATTATAAACTCTAATTCCATTCAGGTTGCTACGAAATTCATGATTTTGTTCCTTTTTTTGGCTGTGTAATATTCCATTGTGTATATGCACCACATTTTTTTAATCCAGTCTTCTTTGATGGACAGTATGGTTGGTTCCATGATCTTGCTATTGTGAACAATGCTGCGATAAACATACGTGTGCAGATATCTTCTTTATAGAGTGATTTGAGTTCTTCAGGATATATTACCAGTAGGGGGATTGCGGGGTCATATGGAAGGTTGATTTTTAGAGCTTTTAGGAATCGCCACACTGTTTTCCACAGAGGCTGCACTAGTTTACACTCCCACCAACAGTGTAGAAGCATTCCCTTTTCACCACATCTTCGCCAGCATCTGTTATTTTTTGAGTTATTGGTAATGGCTATTCTGACTGGAGTTAGGTGGTATCTCAGCGTAGTTTTAATTTGCATCTCCTTGATGACTAGTGAGGTTGAACATTTCTTCATGTATCTGTTGGCCGCTCGTATGTCTTCTTTTGAGAAGTGTGTGTTCATATCTTTTGCCCACTTTGTAATGACTTTAAAATGTAAAATGTAAAGGCTTTAAAAATAAAAATAGTATAACCACTATAGAAGAGAACTAGAGATTATTTTAGTTTCTTCCTTATACTTTCTCTGAGTTTTCAAAAGTTTTTACAAAAAACAAGATTTTTTTAATTAGATAAATGTATAAAATTTAAAATATGAAATACAAAGAGTCTGATCTATTCTTTTTTACTATGCTCCTTTATAAGATTGTCAACATAACTACCTGTATTAATTTGGCAATTATCTTTTCCTCTTGAATTTAATGGATGCCACCTAGTTGTAGCTAACTTTTCTCTGACATCCACTGACATCCCACAAGTAAGTATAAATTTACAAATAAATAAAGCAGACACCAGAGGGGCTTTGAAGGTGTGGTGGAGTCTCCAAATCAAATATTGAGCAATGAATGATAAAGTATCTCACTGCGGAAATAAAAATTTTTTTTTTAAAACTTTCATTGCAGGCAATAAATTTGAATTAGTAAAGAAAAGCCCATTCTTACACCACATAGTTTTATTGCCCTTCTAATCTTAAATTTTTCCTTACAGGACTTTGCTACAGCCTGAATATTTATGTCCTCCCCAAATTAATATGTTGAAACACTAACCCCATGATGATGGTATCAGGAGACATGGCCTTTGGGAAGTGACTAGGACATGAGAGTGGAGCTCTCATGAAAGGGATTGTGCCCTTATAAAAGAAGCTCTGGAGAGCTGTTTTGCCCCTTGCGTTATGTGAGGACATACCTAGAAGGGGACATCTATGAACCAAAAAGCAGTCTCTCACCAGATACAGAATCTGCTAGTGTCTTGATCTTGGTCTGTCTAGCTTTCAGATCTGTGAGAAATAAATTTATTTTGTACTCAAGCTACTCAATCTTTGACATTTCAAGCTACTCAATCTATGGTATTTTGTTCTAGCAGCCCAAACTGACTAAGCCTCATTTTTCTTAAGTTTCTCTAATTATAAAGGAGCATGGTAAAAACTTAAATAGAAGCTTTTAAAATATTCAGAATGTTTTTATCCATTTAAAACTCATTCCTGATAAGCACATTTATGCATTCCATCAAGTACCAAAGTTTAGGGACCAGTATCTTTCTAAGTGATTTTTTTTTCAGTCACCCAGAAGCACCCATAGAAGGGCCTTTTGCACCTTACCATTCCAATGAGCATGTTAGAAAGATATCACTTACATGAAGTGAAGGGGAAGAACTGCCCTATTATCAATTCTGATGGAATCTGTGATGTCTAACATCAGAGCAGATTTGGAAAGTGGGCGAAATAAACACAAAGTTTGAGGGGCAGCTCCTGCAAGATATATGCTCCAAATATACAAGCCCATTGATCTCTGGTGTTATCTGATCCTAATGAAAAATCCAAACTAGGTCCACCTGCAAAGTCTGATTGGCAGAATTTGGACTAATCACTGAACAACTAACTACTAATGGGAACCAAAAACTCAGCGATTGCTGAATCTTTTGCACTTCACTGGCAGTTCTATCCCAGAGATGTGCAGCGCAGATGTGGATAGGGCAGCAGGGGAAGAAAGCCAGATACTTTTTCAAGATTCTCAGGATGGGAAATATTATGCATGGAAAATGGCAACCTCATCATAATCATAGTTTGGGGAGCTCCAAATAGAAGTTACCATTGAAAATATGAAAAAGGGAAAGTTTCTGCTGACAAGTTCTTTGGTGGCATCTAATATGGTTCCTGGTCTTTAGAATGGAACAGTGTCCTGAAATGCATTTTAAGACCTCTAAAGGGATATATCAAAAGGTTAGCAGGCATTGTTTGCAATGGTTTTAAGCTTATGCTATATATGTGTGGTAGTCATCTATAAGAGAAAAATCAATGACACCATGAGCAAGGCATTTATTTGCTCTCTATTGTCAGGGAGCACCTCGCCTCAAATTTCCTGTATAGGTACCAAAGCATCATTATCAGTGGACCACACCCAAAATCACAAGACAACTTCAAACCACAACATCCTGATATAGCCTGATCTATTTGCTTCCTTTCATATTCAAGAAAAGTAGAAAGACAGAATTGCATTTTTTAAAAAATCTAATTTCACAAGAGTATTCCCCAGCATCAGGAAATTTAGGTGCCAAGAACATTAAGCAAATTTGTCTCCTCACATCAGATCAGACGATGGGTTTTCCAACCAAGCCACCATGACAAATGGAATAAAATAGAACTGCATAACTGACCCAGCCAATGATGATAAATCTTTCTGCAATGCTTTCTTTAACAGCGCTATCAGTGATCATATGTTCAGGCTGGACTATAACTTTCAATATATGGAAGACCTTTCCACACATGAATATCATCAAAAGTTAGGAAGAAAATCAACAACCAGAAAGTGATCAAAGAAAAGACAGCATACATTATTTTGTTTCATTTAACATTTGGTAGAATATCTGCTTTGCCAAATACATGAAGAATTCCTAGAAACAGAAAACCACCTTAATATTTCTTCTGTATCCTTCACAGTCTCTGTTACACAGAACAAGCCTAATGTAAAATAGAGGGGATGATACACAGATACTAGTATCACTGCATGAATGAACATATGAATAAGTTTATCTTGATTGACTACAAATTATCCACTGTAGTGCTAGGAGGGAAAAAAAGACAATTGAAGACTTGGAAGAGAATGTAGTAATAATTTTTTTCCAATTTCTTCACTTACAATATTTAATAGAGAGAACTAAAATCCTTTAGAATGTTGCATTGCAAAGTCCTGCCTGAGTTTTCCCTGAAAATTTAGAGTTAAGCACAGTTAATGAATCGGGTTCCTTCATAGATCACTGTGCAATGATGCCCTGCTTTTAAAATCAGGATGTCAGCATGGGAGGCTGTCAGATCATGACCCTGATGTGACATCAAACGCTACAATAAATTAAAGTTCCATGAAAGAGGGATGACTCTCACAGCACAGCTGGGAGACTTGGCCCTACTAATGCTTACCTTTGGCACCTGCAAGCCCTTCTGAACATTAAACAGCACAAAATGGTTACTGATAATTAGTTATGGGAATGTTATCCATCTAGAAGCATAAAGCAATGCTCTTCCAAGCATTTAACGTAAGCCGATCATGTGCACCGAGGGACCCTAGCAAGATACTCAAGCAGTTGAACTAACATTTGAAAATAGAGCAGAGGAAATGTCTTAAGGATTTACTTGAAAAGTATCTTTAAATAATTTAAGTAGAAGGTTAAGAAAAACCAGGGTTTATAAAAGGGAACTACA